AATCTGTGGTAAGCAAAATCACAGCCATCAACAGAAGTCCATGCTTGAATTCCTGGAACCTGTGAATGTATTACCATACAAGGCAAAAGAGACTCTGCAGATGTGATTAAGTTAAGGAACTTGAGATGGGGAGATTATTCTGGATTATCTAGGTGGGCCCAATGTAATCACATTCATTGTTAAGACTAGAGAACCTTTATCAGTTGAGGTCAGAGAAAGAGAAATGTTAGCTGAAGCAGCATCAGAGGGACACTACGCTGTGGGCTTTGAAGATGGAGGGAGGGGTTCACAGCCTTTAAAAGCTAGAAAAGACAAAGAAATCAATTCCCCTAAAGCCTTCAGAAGGAACACAGCCCTATAAGCCCAGTGAGACCTGTGTTAGAATTCTGATCTACAGAACTCTAAGATAATAAATTTCTGTTGGTTTAAGCCACTAAATTCATGGTAATTTGTTACAGTAGCAATAGGAAAATAGGACAGTATCTGTGTGATAAAAACACAGGACTTGTCATGTTAATCTTAAACATCTTCAAAGGCTTTAAAAGGGAAACGGAGAGGATTAAAGCCTGCAAACAAACACATTGCCTTAGCCTGTGATGTCCTGAGAAAAAAAAATCAACGTAACACAGATTTCTATAGTTACATTCTTCTACACATCAACAAGATTCACAATTAGACAAATGGTTATGTATGGTAGTCTCCAGAACCCACTGCTTTCTGCTCACAGACCAAAACAATTTTATCAGAGACTTGTGTTGCCAACTATCTGGAACAAAGTCAGCACACTTAAGTTTAAGCTGAGAAAGATCATGAACTTTTCAAAATAACTAGAATCATTTTTTCCCTTACATTCAGTATTCAAAATTTACATTCAATAAAATATAAATGTATATGTGTGAATCACGATAACCAGTTACTGAAGTGGAACCACATTTTGGTATTTTTGCACTTAAAAAAAAGATACCTTCCATTCCATCTTTTTGTAACACAGTCTGAATTTTTCTAAAAGTGACTTCCTGTGGACTTGAACAATGATCCTGGGTACTCAACCATGAGCGAGTTTCAGGTAAAAGTCCTTAACAAAGCCAAGACCAACGGATGCAATTCACTGTCATTGGTTCCAATACTGGGGTTGCTTTTATTTGAAGCAACAGCAAATAAAAGTACAGAATTTTACATGGAGGATCTAATTTCCTTGGTATGGCAAAGCTGACTTTTTAAAGTCCCTTAGTGGATAAAGCTGTGTTTTTACTTTTAGGCTAATCAAAATATAAAACCTGCACATTTCATGAAGAAGATTTGTCCTTCACTCATGGTTCCACTAAGGTTTGCAAACTGGGCTCTTTTGGTGCAATAAAAAATACTTCAACTTAATACCTTTAAATTACAGCTCAACAGCTCTAAAGAGCACGTCCACCAGAGCACAGCCCAGTTAAACAGGGACATGATTTGTCTGTCTTTTATGTCCTCAGAGATGAGAGCACCCCTATTATTAAGAGATTGCTTCCAGCCATCTGAGTTAACCAGGTAATGCTTAAAGCGGGAAGAGAAATATACATGCTAATTCCGAGGTCACCATAATACTCTGCAATGGAAAAGCCTGCTGATACTTCTGTTGACATCTCACACTCAAGGTGCTTAGGAAAGTATCACATCATTTGGTAAAAACATCCTGTGGCTGAATCAGCAGTTTTAATGGAAAGTCCCTATGTATGCTATTTGTACACAGGCTGGGTTCTGGAGAGACACGTTTGGTTAACATAAAAACAAGAAACGACAGTTTAATGTACAACTCAATTAGCCTATACGTGGAGGTAACCTTAAATATCTTTGGTTTTTTTTTTTCTTTTTAATTTGCTGATAAAAAGTACTTGAATTAAAACACTGATAAATACCAATATAATTGTATTGCTTTTAATTATGTAAACTTAGCCCTTCGATATCTTTTGCTACTAAAAGCTAGATTCCCCTATCAGCCTCTAAATAAATTTATTTCAAATCTGCTCATCTTTACTTAGGTACAAGCTAACCTATATATCTTAATGGTCTTTGGTATGAAAATACTGATGAGCAGTATCTTGTAGTATTTGGCATAAAAATGACATGCATGTATCAGTACTTACAGCAAACGAGTCTTTGGAAAAGAAAAGTTACATTTGCATATTAGCCCCTTTGGAGTGAAATGCTAAGAAGTAATACCACTAGGAAGAATGAGTAAAAAACCTTCACATTTTAGTTACAATTTCATACTTACGACTTCAAAGAAGCTTGCTTTGGTCAAGTAAAAAGAAGTCTTTGCTGTACACTAAATATCTTATTCAATGAGACCAAAATAGTTTACTTTTGATGAAAAAAATTTTTTTCTCTCCAACAAGTAGTTTCAACAATTTAAAAATACTCTAATACTGTATAGCTGAAAAGTCACTTGCTGAAGAAAAAAAAAAAAAGTTATACTTGAAATTCTTTGGAACTATCTGCTGGTAAAGAAAGTATTACAATTTAATATAGATGCTCTGGTAACAACAGGTAGTTAACATTACTAGTCTATTTAACTACAACAATCAATATAAACCCTATTGTTTGGAGTTAGTAACTATTTGTATAAGCTTCGTATCTATAGATGTTCCTAGTTGATTCAATTTGGGGGGAATTATAATCAAAATTTCACTTTCTACTGAAAATTCTTTGGTAACAGGATTATCTGAAAAAGTCTATATAAGCACAAAATGAAAAGGTAAAAAATGTACTGGTAAATAATTAGCAAATAGTTACAGCCTAAAGACCTATAATAACTATGGGCCTATTCATCAAAAACCAAACAAAATACTTTCCTCAAAGACTTCAGATCATCTTTTTGAGCCACTTAAAACTATTCCAATTCATACAGTCCTAGATACTTTCCGTAACCATGACAGATGATGTTTTAGCTTTCGATTTTGTTTGTGTTTTAATGAAAGTTTAAAAAATAAAAAGAACTCATCATATTCCTTAATTTTAGATTTGGATAAAAGTTGGCCCTACATACTTCTACTTACAAACCAAAAAACGCCATACCCTGTCAATTTGCCCATGCGTCCATGAGGCAGCTCAAAAGTAACAAAATGTTCCCTGAGTACAGGAAAAATAATAACACTAGAATAACTTTAAAAGGAGGTAGTATAACACAGGAGCTATAAAGGCAGGAGCAGCATTTTTCCTTGCCACAGATTGTTCACCTAAAGCTCTGCTTTTTTGTTTGTTTGTTTTGCCATGAAGCCCATACTTAGATAATTAACTGGGGGACTTTTATTCGTTCAGAAGTGGCTGCTGGCACTTAATGTTGGTCCTGCTTCTGAACCCATCCAGTTTGGCACAAAACTATGGATTTAAAAACGTTTAACAGTATAAAAAACTGTTATACCATCAGTCACTGGGCTAGCACATAACACTGTAACTATAATCCAGTCATATTCTTTTGATTTTAGAACACTATTTGACATGACCCTAGCCCCTTTATAAACACAACGTTTCAAAGGGAAACCCATTAAAATTTCTTTTAAAATAAGACTTGAAAGTCATTTCCAGAAAATTTGAAAAAATATGTTTGAAAGGCTATGGATTCCCTTTCTATACATTTAGTCTTTATCCTCTCCCACTGCAGCACCGAGGAAATGGTTCCGGGACTGAGAGAAGGCCTAGTCTATGTAGCTGAGTAAACAATTCGCTGATTTCAAACCAGCAAGAGGATTAACTCACTCCTGGAGTTAGCATTCCTCATTCACAGCACTGACACTGAAGGAAGAGACTGAAAAAAGAGTACCAAATTCTCTTAAGAATTCAAGAAAACACGAGTAGGGTAGTAGCTCTGAATATTTAGCCCTAAATAAAACCTGCACTTAAAAATTAAAAAAGCTTTAGTAAGATACGGTACATCAAAATAGCTATTGATAAAATCCAAGAAACTCTTAAGGCAACTTTTTGTACTCGTGTCCTAAACAACTTCGTGAATATTTAAAAGGGATAAGGCAAAGAATTTCATAATATATCCTGGAAGGCACTGTTTCCACGATAACCTCAAGTTCATTTTGCTGTCTACTGTTGCATTTATCTTCATTCTTAATGTTTCATGAAATTTCTTCATCCCTTTAAGCCAAACTGGATAAAGAAAAAAACCCTTAATCCATTATCTTAAAAATCCATTTTCTGCATGGGGTTTTGCAACAAATTCAGGAAGAGTTGAAGATGCTTTGCAAATCTGACAGCATGGCCTTTGGCCAACTGTCAGGCAAGGTGGGGGGTGAAAGGCACGGCTAGGCAGGTGGAAGTTTGGGATATAGCAGATAAACTATAGAGCTGGTCAGACCCTAATGCCCGAAATATAAAGGTCTTTGAAGCAATATTATTCCCGATACGCTACTAAATAGTTCTGTTCTCAAAAGAGATACACTTTTTTGTTTTGGTCATTCATTAAAAGAAGTAGTCCCACTTCTTCTTGTCTTAGTGGTTTAACAGTCTTCACAACCAGAAGTGTTAAATTATCCAAACCATGCAGCTGTCACAGGTTTTTAAAAAATCAGAGCTTCAGATAAACATTCTTACTCATCTACCTATATGACTCCTTGGATCACACACATTACACATACAGCAATGAAAACAAAATGCTACTAATAAGTATCATTGGTTATGTAGCTGAAATAAACTACAACAACAAATGAGGTAACAAAGTTGTCTTCAGAGTCTGCCATCTGGCAAACGGAGGTAGATAGTCAGCAAAGGGGCTTTCAAAAGTCTTCCCTTTGCTCCAGTGATATATTTTATAATCCAGTCAAACATTTTGACTGTCCTTTCACATTGCTGACAATGAAACATTCAAATTACATGAGTTTAAAAATAAAAAACAAAACACATTCAAAAAAAGGTGAAATACCCAGTAAGACATCACAATTTTCACAAAAGGCTTTGGCTCCCTGTTCATTGTCCTTCGAACAGACTTACAGGTGAGAATACCTGAGCATGGCTGCCTAGACCGGAAGACCGTTTTTATCAAAGCATTGCTTGGCAGATGGTGGGGGCAGAACCGAAGAGGAAGTCTGCTCAGCAGCTGATGGCATTACAGGGTCTTCACACTTCCTCACTGTGGGATCCCCACCCGAACCACAGCCAGCGAAAGAACTAGATGTCGGGGGTGTGGCACTTATAACTGAGGACAAGTGTATCTCATCGTTGGACTCATGGGAGAACCTTCCAGAATCCCCAGTCTCGTGGCTGCCTTCACTATTTGCCGAATGTTCAGTATCAGCTGCAACACCGAATGGTCTGGGGAAGCTGGTTGTCTGACCTGGGGAGCTGGGGGAGTCTTCATCACTGATTAATACAGTAGTGCCTGGCTGGTAAAAGCAGACGGCTTGAGTAAATCTTCTTTGAGGCTAGGCAAAAATAGATAAGATAGCAAAGAGATCAAACTGATCAAGTTCATGGGCAAAACAGGTCATCTAGGTCAATGCTTCCCCACAGAGGGGTGGGTAGGAAAATATCACTATTAGCTGCCATGAGTGAATTGTCAAAAGCTTCTTCAGTGATTCTGCTACACTGTTACCCCCAGCACTTTCCCCACTGTCCCTGCACGCCTCTGATTACTCCTCTAACTGTACTTTCAGAATGGCTCTTGACAAAGTCATGCCCCAAATTAATAAAATCATATCCATAAACAACACAGAAATTAAAGTAAATCATTACTTTGCATTTTCCTCTCTTTTTAATTATTATTTCATGTATCATGGGTTGCCAAAGATTTTTTTCATTTAGGTGGGTTACCTGCTCAACTTTTATCTTCTTTGTGTCTTGGAAAAAAAACCATTTTTTCTTAGGGTTGCTTTTAATTATAGGACCATAGCTATTAATTATCAGGTCAGTTCCTCCCTAGGGAAATAAAAGAAGAGAAATGTAAATTATCTTGGTATCACAGATTTCAGTTTAACACATATAGTACACAAACTTCTTTTTTTTCTTTTTTGAGACACAGTCTCACTGTGTTACCCTTGGTAGAGTGCTGTGGCATCACAGCTCACAGCAACCTCAAACTTTTGGGCTTAAGCAATTCTCTTGCCTCAACCTCCCAAGTAGCTGGGACTATATGCACCCACCACAACACCCAGCTATTTTTTTGTTGTAGTTATCATGTTTGGCAGGACTGGGCTGGGTTCAAACCTGCCAGCTCCGGTGTATGTGGCTGGTGCCCTAGCAGTTGAATTATAGGAGCCAAACCATTACACAAAATTTTTAAATGTTAAAAGAAAAAAAATGGGCCAAGTGCAGTGGCTCACACCTGTAATCCTAACACTCTGGGAGGGCCAAGGTGGGAGGACTACTTGAGGCCAGGAGTTCAAGATCAGCATAAGCAAAAGTGAGATCCCCATCTCTACAAAAAATAGAAAAACTGGCCAAATGCGGTGGTGTGCGCCTAAAGCCCCAGCAGAAAGATCACTGAGTCCAAGAGTTTGAGGTTGCAGTTGACTGCGGGGATGCCACCACTCTATCCTGGGCAACACGAGACCCTGTCTCAGAGGAAAAAAAAAA